AGTCGTTTTTCTTAAACGCAAAACTCTCCATGATCTCAAATGAAGGCTGCGTTACTTAAATTAACTTTCTGTTTTCCAGTTCGCTAACATCACACACAAGCACTTTTTCCTCCAACGTGCTGTTCTCTTAGCTGATCAAACGCCAAGCTTGGATATGATGTATATTACATTACATTACATTGCATTTAGCTGACGCTTTTATCCAAAGCGACTTACAATAAGTGCGTTCGTCCAACAAAATACAACTTGAAGAAAACAGAATCATATAAAGTACATCAGGTTTCATAGAGCAAAAACATTTCCAAGTGCTACTCAACTGGCTTTAGATAAGCCAGTCCTTTATTAGTATATAAAGTGCTTCGTTAATAGTTCTATCGCTCGAAGTGGAGTCGAAAGAGATGAGTTTTCAGTTTGCGCCAGAAGATGTGCAAGCTATCTGCCGTCCTGATGTCAATGGGGAGCTCATTCCACCATCCTGGAGCCAGGACAGCAAACCCACGTGTTTTCGCCGATGGGAACTTGGGTCCCCCTCGCAGCGAGGGCGCAACGAGTCGTTTGGCTGATGCAGAGCGTAGTGCACGCGCTGGGGTGTACGGTTTAACCATGTCCTGGATGTACGAAGGGCCAGATCCATTCGCAGCATGGTAAGCAAGTACCAGTGTCTTGAAGTGGATTCTAGCAGTTACCGGAAGCCAGTGAAGCGAGCGTAGGAGCGGAGTAGTGTGGGAACATTTAGGAAGGTTGAAGACCAGACGAGCCGCTGCATTCTGGATGAGCTGCAGAGGTCGGATGGCACATGCAGGTAGACCAGCCAGGAGGGAGTTGCAGTAGTCTAGGCGTGAGATGACGAGAGCCTGGACCAGAACCTGAGTCGCTTTCTGTGTCAGCTGGGGACGTATCTTCCTGATGTTGTAAAGCGTGTATCTGCAGCAACGGGTTGTAGCAGCTATGTTTGCAGTGAAGGACAGGTTGTTATCTAGGGTCACACCCAGATTCCTTGCAGTCTGAGTCGGGGAAACAACTGAGGTGCCGATGTTGATTGTTAGGTCAAGAGTGGGACAATCTTTTCCCGGAAGGAAGAGCAGCTCAGTCTTGTCAAGGTTGAGCTTGAGGTGATGAGCAGACATCCACTGAGAGATGTCAGCTAGACAAGCAGAGATGCGTGCAACGACCTGGGTCTCTGAGCGGGGAAAGGACAGAATTAATTGGGTGTCATCAGCGTAGCAGTGGTAAGAAAAACCATGCGGGCTAATGACTGATCCGAGCGAGTTTGTGTACAGGGAGAAGAGGAGGGGACCAAGAACAGAGCCCTGAGGGACCCCTGTAGTTAATTGACAAGGGTCGGACTCAGACCCTCTCCAAGTCACCCTGTAGGTACGGTCTTTCAGGTATGAGGTGAGGAGGGAAAGTGCAGAGCCTGAAACTCCAAGTTTTTGGAGAGTGCGAAGGAGGATCTGATGATTCACCGTGTCGAATGCAGCAGACAGGTCCAACAGGATGATGACAGAGGAGAGGGATGCAGTTTTGGCAGTGTGCAGTTCCTCCGTGACAGCAATGAGAGCAGTTTCTGTGGAGTGACCTGCCTTGAAACCAGACTGGTGCGGATCCAGAAGGTTGTTCTGATTGAGATAACAGGAGAGTTGTTTAAAGACAGCGCATTCAAGTGTTTTAGACAGGAACGGGAGGAGAGAGACAGGCCTGTAGTTTATAACATCAGACGGGTTGAGAGTGGGTTTCTTTAAGAGAGGGTTTACTCTTGCCTCCTTGAGACTGTTTGGAAAGTGACCAGAAGTTAGAGAAGTGTTGATGAAATGGGTGAGAAACGGTAGAATATCAGGAGCGATAGTCTGAAGGAGGTTTGAAGGGATAGGGTCCAGAGGACAGGTGGTAGGGCGGGCAGAGGTAATGAGGGTAAGAACCTCACTTGGAGAGAGAGGGGAAAAGGAGGTAAGTGTGTTGGTGGAAGGAGGGTCTGGTGACCCAGCGGTGAGTAAAGGTGAGTCAGAAAAAGAAGAGTGAATATCATCAACCTTTTTTTCAAAGTGGGTAACAAAGTCGCTTGACAGAAGTGAGGAGGGGGGAGGGGCTTTTGGAGGGTCCAAGAGGGTGGAGAAGATGGAAAATAGTTTTTTAGGATTGGAATAGGAAGATTGGATCTTATCTTGAAAGAAAGTGCTTTTTGCCTGAGAGATCGAAGCAGAGAAAGAGGAGAGGAGAGCTTGATAGGTTAGGAGGTCGTCACGGTGTTTGGATTTCCACCATTTCCGCTCTGCTGCCCTAAGGACGGTTCTATTAGCACGCAGTGCATCATTTAGCCAGGGAGCAGGAAGGGACTGACGAGCCTGCCGAGATGTGAGAGGACAGAGCGAGTCCAGAGTGGATGAGAGAGTAGAGAGGAGAGTTTCTGCAGCAGAGTTTGGAGGCAGGAGTTGGAACGAGTCAGAGGAAGGGAGGGCTGAGAGCACCGACGAGGCAAAGGTAGAGGGGGAGAGGGAGCGAAGGTTACGGCGGATAAGTGCAGGATGAGAAGAGATTTGCTTGTTATGTTTGGAAAGGGATAGAGAGAATGAAATGAAGAAGTGATCAGATGTGTGGAGCGGGTTTACAGAGAGGTTAGAAGTAGCGCAGTTCCTTGAGAATATGAGATCAAGGACATTGCCAGCTTTATGAGTCGGTGGGGACGGAGACAGTGAGAAAGCAAAGGCGGTTAACAGAGATGTTAGTTCGTCTATCTTCCCTGTCTGGAGGTTGAAGTCTCCGAGAAGTACAGCGGGAGGGCCAGTTTCAGGGATGTGTGAGAGGAGATTATCTAATTCCTCCAAGAAGTCCCCCAAGGCGCCTGGTGGACAGGTAGAGAACAACAATGGTTAACTGTATAGGATGGGTTACTGTGACGGCATGGAACTCAAAGGTGGAAGGAGTAAGTTAGGTAGCTTGAAGAGGGAAAAGCTCCATTTGGGAGAGAGCAGGAGACCAGTTCCACCTCCTCTGCCAGTTGGTCTGGGTGTATGGGAGAAGGAATATGCTGTGGAGAGAGCTGCTGGGGTGGATGTGTTGGATGGAGTAATCCAGGTCTCAGTGAGAGCAAGGAAATCCAGAGACTGCAGGGAGGCGTAGCCAGAGATGAAGTCAGCCTTAGGAACAGCTGACTGGCAGTTCCACATGCCACCTGAAACTAGATGTTGGATCTCAGTGGAGCATGTGGTATAGATAAGAGCAGGCCGGTTATATCGATTACGAGATATACGGGGCCAGTGATAATTGCGAGAAGACACATAAACAGGAATGGAGAAAATACACATGATTATAGCATGAAGGGCTAAACGACCAAATAAAATGAAAAAAAAAACAAAACAAAAAAAACACCAGCGATACTTAGCTCAATCAAAGTAGGATTTGCCTCCTCTTTGCCTCCCTCGTGACTCCCACAGGACTCTAATGTATTTGCCAGTCTTTGACTCCCACAGGACTCTAATGTCTTTGCCAGTCTTAGCCTGTCTGACGCTGGAGCTGACGCTCCAGGAAAGTGCTACCTAAAATGGACACCTGATTGCTGAGTTCTCACAGCTGTGGGGCAACGTCCCTTTAATTAGTTAACTCTCTGCAGCTGGTGGCCCTCAAAAGGAAATCTAGACTGGCTTCCTCCTGGTTTGTTATTGTCTTTTAAGTCAATTACATTAAACCCTAAGTTATAAAGTTATGAGTTTAACCCTTAATACAGTTACACCTACTCAATAAAGCTCTTAGTATTCTACAAATGTTTAAATCAAAGTTAACCCTAGTAGTCAGTTAGTTCACTTTTAAGGTTTCAGTCAAATGACTTTTCCCAAGTTTCTGTCTATGTATACCTGCACTATAGTGTTTGCAGGGTGCTTTATGTACTTGCTTTCAATGACAACCTTTTTTTAAAATGTTATTCTATAAACTACTGACTATTTCTCTGTGTTGGAACTCAAGAAGCACTGGAATGGAATGGCTGCCATAGAGATTGAGATTTAAGGAACACTTGGCCTCTTATTTTTTTCCAGAGCTGTATGTTTAGGACAGCAATAAGCAATAAGAGACATTGATACATTTTAAAATCATAAGTGCATAACGTGTTTTATTTATATTGAAACCAAAATAAATATGATCCATAGCTTTCCATAAATAAAAGCTAAGGTCATATTTGTTGATGAATAATTTATGAGTGGTAGTGCTGTGTTATTTCTGTTTTTTAGTCGGAGTGATCTGGGTGACATTTACTAACATGATTACTATAATCGGATTGTGGGCCACACATCATCAAATTCCCTTGTTTTCTAGGTAATTTAACATCTCGTCATAAACCGATCTCACACTAAAATAGGCTATACTTTCACCAGTGGCGAACCGTCAGGGCCTTCAAGGTATTCAGAGAATACCATGGAACACTCAGATAAAACAAATTGAATTAATTCTATAAATAAAATGTATATAAAATGAATAAATGAGAATGGTATCTGTGTTGTTGATCTGTAATATTACAGTGTTACGTTGATTTGTTTGTCCTTCTCGGACCATGCACTACGCATTTCAGTGGTTTTGTGTTAGAAAAGAAAGCAACCAATCAGATCTTGTTCTGTCCTCTGGGTAGAATATCCTTCAACCAAGGTATTCTATATCCTTGATGGGGGTGGGTGTGTGTGTGTGTGTGTGTGTGTGTGTGTGTGTGTGTGTGTGTGTGTGTGTGTGTGTGTGTGTGTGTGTGTGTGTGTGTGTGTGTGTGTGTGTGTGTGTGTGTGGTGTGTGTGTGTGTGTGTGTGTGTGTGTGTGTGTGTGTGTGTGTGTGTGTGTGTGTGTGTGTGTGTGTGTGTGTGTGTCTACAGAAGGTCCAGTTGTGATAGACACGTTTCGCCACTGACTTTCACAGAATGAAACCACTTTCATCAGAACATTATTATAATGACTAAATGTGTGCCTTTTATTTTAGAATGTCCTTTTACTTTTATACAGGTGCTGTCCTGATTTTATAAAAATAACTGAGACTTGAACGGAACAAGAATCCACTGTTCCCCTCCCTGACCTCGTGTTCCTTACCCTCTATGAAACACATCTCCAACCATGAATGAAGTAAATATAATCAGAGAGGGATGGCTTCACAAAAGAGGTAAGGAGGAAGAGAAACCGTAAGATGTCATTCTCACTCGGTCTACCTGTATCTTAAATCTAAAACTATTAACAGATCTAGCATAACAAGTCATCTTAAAATGACAGATATGTTCCTATTGATTGTTATTGTTATAATTGCATCCCATTTTTGACCCAGGTGAATATATCAAAACATGGAGGCCGAGGTACTTCATCCTGAAAAATGACGGTTCCTTCATTGGCTACAAAGAGAAACCTGATCTTAACGACCAGATTTCACCTCCCCTCAACAACTTCTCAGTGGCAGGTCAGTTCTCCAGATGGTAAAACATCACTCCGAACGCCATTGCTTTCTACTCAAAGCTATAAGGCTGTTTTGAGTTCCAAACAGTTAGACTATCATCAGCAGTTTCTGTTAATATCCTCATTGTGTTCTTCACAGAGTGTCAGTTAATGAAGACTGAAAGACCCCGGCCTAACACATTTGTAATCCGTTGCCTACAGTGTACCACTGTCATTGAACGCACCTTTCACGTGGACAGTAATGAGGAGAGGTAAGAACAGGGTAAAATATATGTCAAGCAAGCTGACATTTTGTGCAAAAAATATTGGGAAAACGTTTCAAGTGATTCATCAAATGGCATTCAGCTGTATTTGTGTGTCAAGCACTCTGCAATACTTGTTGTATTTGTTTGATGTAATGCCTGACAATATTTGGGATTTTTGCCTGTCAGAGAAGAGTGGATGCGTGCAATCCAGTCGGTGGCAAATAGTCTGAAGATGCGAGAACAGGAGGAGGAGGAGGAACCAATGGATCTGTTTGGCTCACCCAGCGAAAGCAGCCTGGAGGAGATGGAGGTGTCTCTGACCAAGAACGGCTCCAAAGTGGTGAGAGGATCAGATCAGAGTTTCCGTTAGAATTTATTTTTGCCGGTCAACATGTCCGTTAAAGTTTAAATCTTCCGAACAAAAGGAGAAAAGTGCTGGTCAAAGGTCTTCTTTGTTATTTATTGAGCTTTAAAACAAATTGATAACGACTCTATATAATAATATAAGAATAATAAACGGAGCCTCTCTTTTACTCTCCTGACAGCCCGTCAGTATCCGTCTCATGCAGCTGGCTGATCCAGTAATGAGTGACCCGACAGTAAAGAATAAACATATCTATGACTAGTTTAGGTAGTTTGAGAGGTTTTTATAATAGCTAAGTGTGATCTTCTAACTTGAAGTGTGAGTTTGCTCTGCTCACCTGTCCGTCACAGCGGGCGGAGCTGCAGGTGATCCGGTAGAGCTGCGTGTTTCCGTCAGCAGCAGCTGATCTGATCTCTGATCTATTATCTCTCTCTCCCGTCCGATTACTTCACTCACGTTTATGTCCATATCGATCAGATCTAGCTAGTTCTAGCTAATGCTATGACTGCCTGCGTATCAAAGGACACCTAAACAATAAGCGTTGCTTGGCAACGGGGTGTGGCGGCAAAGTATAGCGCAGCATTATGCATTTGTTTACATGAGGGGTCAAAATGTCCCCGTCAGGAGGATAAATATATTTTTCCACATTAAATGTTAGACATTAGAATTGACTCTTCTTGTCTGACACATCAGTGGCGCAACTGATGCGGTATTGCGCTAAGGGGAAATTATTCTGACTGGACATTTTGACCGGAGTGATTTAGATTTGCCATTTTACCGGTCTTAGTCCGGTAATTACCGGCTAACGGAAACTCTGGATCAGATGTGTGTTTTAAACATATTGAGCTGAAGTTTCAGATCAGTGGGTTTACTACCTTTTTATTTAAGGAGTGTTTAAATTAGCAGTCCATCTCCAGACAGTTTTCCGTTACATAAGATTAAAATGTGAGATTTTTCAGTTTTAATTAGTACAGTGCAGCTCAATAAGAAAAACAACTAGAAAATGCATTTCCTGCTGAAAATGTGTGCGAATGCTGTAAGCTGTGCAAATTTGTTGCTGAACTAAGCTGAAAATGCAGTAAGCAGGATACAGGAAATCTATAGGGCTTTTATTTTTGAAGGGGTGTGAGAGGGGGAGAAAAAAAAATCTCTCCCTGTGTGCCTGTCTGTCTGTAGCTCTGTCTGTCTGTATCTGTGTGTGTTGGCTGTCTACTCTTATTGGATGATGTCACTCAACTGTGTCTGCAATTTTGCCTCCTGTTCAAAAACTATTGATTGATTGATTGATTGATTGAAAAGTTTATTAACAGCTTGTATATTGGATACAGTACAGTACAGCTCAAAACATACAATTGTTAAGGGGATACAGACCAGAGAAAGACTTTCGTCTTGTTTACATCAGGGTCCCCCATTTCCAATTCATCATATCATTTAAGACATATAAGACATACAGATGGCTTATTTACAATTTACATACATGTGGTTTTTTACATACAGATTGCTTATTTACAATTTTCATTTTAGATTTCGTTCTAATACATCCTAACCGGACATTTAAGACATACCAAGTCTACAGATGTACAGTTAGTAACAGAGTCTAAAATGCGAGTATATACATAGATGGGGGGGGGGGGGGGAAGCTGTCCATTGAACGACAGGTTGAGATTTGTACCATTACCGGGGCCACTATGGCTCTCATCAAAATAATTAACTGACAGTAAGCATGAAGGAACCCTGATGAACACATCTGTGTTTTTTTGTGTTTTGTGTGTAAAATGTGGAGATGGCAGCAGTTTGTCTAAAATTTACTTCTTTCTGGTCTGAAGAAAGATCCGGACACATTTAACATGGGAGTCTATTGGGAAGCTTGGTGGACTTTTTGTCACTCAGATCACTATTAGGCCAGAACGGTGGGTCAGTTTGATATGATGAATCAATTGAGCAGGCCAGACTAATAATGCTCCTGAAATAGAGTGTATATTTTGGGTGTGAGAGCAGTTTTAAAATAATCTTTCAGAAGATTTTAAAGACCCTCTACACAAGTGATGATGTCACACACTCTAGCCCTGAAGAGTCTGTCCCATAGACACCCATTATAAAATCTAAAACGGCCTGAACATTTACCAAAACTTAAACGTTGATAATTCAAGAACTGTAAAAGATATCAAAAACCTGAATACAACTTTAATAGCTGAATGTCTTGTGACCATTTTAAAGTTGGAATGAAGTCTATAGCTGAAAGTATGTGGAAAGAGTAGCATTTTGCACACCGTGTAGGTTAAAGAGGATTTGAAGTGTCGTCCCATTGAGTTTCATGTTAAAAAAAAGAGTTTAAAACGCTGAATATTTTATAAAGTTTCCCATCATGTGCTGAAAAGGCTGAATATTTTGATGTTTGAATGGATTCTGTAGCTGAAAGTATGCTGAAGTTATTGAGAGCTAAACTTTTTGTTGAAATAATAATAATAATAATAATAACTAGAAAATGCATTTCCTGCAGAAAATGCATGTGAATGCTGTAAACTGTGAACATTTATGGCTGAATTTAGCTGAAAATGCAGAAAAAGCTGAATATTTTATTAGTTGAATGGTAGCTGCTTTTAGCTACAAAAACCAAGTAAGTGTGTTGCTGAACTTAGCAGAGAAATGCAGAAAAGTGAAATGATTTGAATAAAATTGTTACAGCTCAAATGCATTGCAATGACTTTGTTGAAAACTTGAAAGTGAAATGTTAAACTGGAAGAGTAGGACAAATAGTGAAGAAGCTTAATATTTAAAAGAAAATGTTTAAAAAAGGTACAAACAAGTAAGTAAGTCAAGTTTATTTATAAAGCGCTTTTCACAGACAAAGTCACAAAGTGCTTGACAAAACAATAAGACATCCATATAGGACACGTACAATGATCAATGAACCCACATGTTAAAAAGTCATAAAAGCACCAGAGCATAATTTAAGACACAATAAAAACACAATAAAACAAAACTTACAAATGAAATTTAAAACAAACGAAAATAAAAACATAGTATTAAATGGAATAAGACCAAGCACACCGGTTACCCAAACGCCTGACCAAACAGGAATATCTTTTAAATAGTTTTAAAAGAGTCAACAGACTCCGCAGACCGTAGATGAGCAGGCAGAGCATTCCATAATTTAGGAGCCACTGCTGCGAACGCTCGATCACCACGGGTCTTAAGGTGGGTACGTGGGACAGACAGTACATTTTGCCTGTGAGACCTGAGTGGGCGGGCTGATGTATAAGGGTGAATTAAGTCAGCTACATAAGCAGGAGTCTGACTGTGCAAAGCTCTGTAGGTGAGAGTGAGGATTTTGAACTTAATCCTATAAGCTACAGGGAGCCAGTGAAGGGATCTGAGTATCGGGGTAATGTGGGACCATTTGTTTGACCGGGAGAGAAGTCTTGCAGCTGCATTCTGGACTGACTGCAGACGACCAAGGGCAAACAAGCTGAGAGAGGAGAACAACGTGTTGCAGTAATCAATGCGAGATGAAATAAATGCATGGATAATCATTTCTAGGTCGGGTGTTGAAACTACAGATCTCAGTTTGCTAATATTTCGTAGGTGGAAAAAACATGATCTCGTCAGTTGCTTAACATGGGTATCAAACGATGCGGATTGGTCAAATATTACCCCTAAGTTGTGCAGTTTGGAGTTGGCAGCAGAGGAATAAGGTCCAAGACTTTTCAGAATCAAGGGCGTAATCCTTTCTGGTGCAACAACCAGAACCTCCGTCTTATCAGCATTCAGTTGTAAGAAGTTATCTGCCGTCCAGTCCTTAATGGCACTAAGACATTCTAAGAGTCTCGATATCCTAAAAGCCTCACTAGGTTTGAATGAAATGTGGAGCTGGATATCATCCGCGTATAAGTGATATGTAATGTTAAAACTATTTATGATTTGTCCTAAGGGTAGCAAATATAGGGAGAATAACAGAGGCCCCAAGACCGAGCCCTGCGGGACACCACAGGACAGTGGAGAGGAGTCTGACACAAAGTCTCCAATCGAGACGGTGAAACTTCTATCAGCAAGATATGATGCAAACCAGTCTAATGCTATGCCAGATATGCCCACCCAGTCACGTAACCTCTTGATCAGGATATGGTGGTCTACAGTGTCAAACGCCGAACTTAGGTCAAGAAGTACTAACACAGAGCAATCAGCCACATCAGAAGCCATCAGGATGTCGTTAGAAACCCTCAGGAGAGCCGTTTCAGTGGAGTGCTTTTTCCGAAAACCTGACTAGAACTTATCGTAAATATTGTGCCTCTCCAGTGCAGCAGTGAGTTGGTTGGCCACGACCTTCTCTAGAACTTTTGAGAGAAAGGGTAGTTTAGATATAGGCCTGTAGTTCACGGGCAAGGCTGGATCTAAGTTAGATTTCTTTAATATGGGCTGAATAGTGGCATGCTTAAAATAGGAAGAGACACATCCTGTAGACAAGGAAGTATTAATAATAGTTGATACAGTACTGCAAATGGTTGGTAAAACTTTTAAAAATAGTGAAGTCGGTGTTACATCCAGGGGGCACGAAGATGGCTTCATTTTCCTAATTAAATCCATCAGGTCTTGTGAGTTGATAGGTTCAAATGAGCCAAGCATATCATGGGATGGAGATGGGCTAGAGTTGGGCAGTGAAATCCCAGGATTAATACTGGACCTAATAGATGCTACCTTATCTACAAAGAAGATAAGGAACTTGTTACAGTCATTATTCGAAAGACATGGTAATGTAGTTAGTGGCGGTGAAACAATATTATTAATTGTGTCAAATAGGATCTTGGGATTTTTCTTTGAAGAAGTTATTAACTTAGCAAAGTAAGCAGTCCGAGCTTCTTTTACTAATGCATTAAAAGACAATCTTAGATCTTTGAGATAAAGGCGATGCACTTCCAGCCCAGTGGTTTTCCATAGTCGTTCTGTCCTGCGACACTTCCGCCTCAGGCAGCAGACAGCATCCGTTATCCATGGAGAAGTATTGCAGATAGCTCTAGTCCTATCCTTTAGAGGTGCCACTATGTCCAGTAATGTGGAGCAATGATGATTAAAAGACTGTATTAAAAGCTCTACATCGATCATGTTAGTGTTATTATCACTGCAAAAGTGAGCTGCGAACTGATCAGCTGTACTCTGTGTAATAATGCGTGAACAACGTAATGATGTTTTGAGGCACATGGGGTCGGTTTTTACAGATAGATTAAAGAAAATACATTTATGATCACTGATCAGTAGATCCTCACAACGGATGTGATCAACATCTAGTCCCAGAGAAAAAACAAGGTCTAAGGTCTAAACATGTTACTTGAAATTAAAAGATTCAGTAATATTAAGAAATTCAGTAGCTACAGAATTTGTGGCATCATTAATGTGCAGGTTAAAATCACCTACTAATAACAACAACATGTATAGCCTCAATGTCTTGAAATAGCTGAATAAGTTAATAGTTGAATGGTTTATAGCTGAAAGTAGGCTGAAGGAGTTAGATATTAAATGTAAGTAGTAGTGAATGAATGTTTACAAACACCTGTGTGTGTAAGCCCAGAGATCAAAGGTTTCCATGGTGATGAAGTTCTTGAACAAATAATAATACAAACCTCCAGTCTGCGTGTCTGCTCTGATTAGATGATGTCACTCAGGTGTGTGGCTCCAATCTGCCCAGCAACCAACTGCAGCACTGAGTCCCATAAGAATGCATTGAGGATTATATCTGACAATTTTGCCACCTGTTCAAAAACTATGGCTCCTATTAAAAAAATGACCAGACCGTGAGCATCAGGGAACCCCATTGAACTGAAATATGTTTTTTTGTGTGGTAAATGTGAAGATGGGAGCAGTTTGTCTAAAGTGTACTTCTCTCTGTTCTGAAGAAAGATCCGGAAATAAATAATACATGTTAACTAGGTAAAATAAGATATGAATAAACAACACAAATAAAATAAGTTACATTCATTTGTTATTGGCTATGGTAGGTTATTGGTTATGTTCACATACTTATTTGATTACATCCACTTGTCTACTGTAAGATGACAACAGAGACTTTCGACCCAAACCCAGCTGTTGACTTGTGGATGCAAGCAGCTAATCGCAGACTCAACCAGAGAGAAAGAAGTAGGCCTACATCATCAGCTACCATGTCTGACAGAGAGGGAGACAGTGAGGAGAACAGTCAGGAGGGTAGTCAGGAGAACAGTGAGGAAGACATAGAGGAAGACATAGAGGAAGACATAGAGGAAGACAGAGAGGAAGACAGAGAGGAAGACATAGAGGAAGACATAGAGGAAGACATAGAGGAAGACAGAGAGGAAGACATAGAGGAAGACATAGAGGAAGACATAGAGGAAGACAGAGAGGAAGACAATGAGGAGAACAGAGAGGAAGACAGAGAGGAAGACAGAGAGGAAGACAATGAGGAGAACAGAGAGGAAGACAGAGAGGAAGACAGAGAGGAAGACAGAGAGGAGAACAGTGAGGAGAACAGAGAGGAAGACAGAGAGGAAGACAGAGAGGAAGACAGAGAGGAAGACAGAGAGGAAGACAATGAGGAGAACAGAGAGGAAGACAGAGAGGAGAACAGAGAGGAAGACAGAGAGGAAGACAGAGAGGAAGACAGAGAGGAAGACAATGAGGAGAACAGAGAGGAAGACAGAGAGGAAGACAGAGAGGAGAACAGAGAGGAAGACAGTGAGGAAGACAGAGAGGAAGACAGAGAGGAGAACAGTGAGGAGAACAGAGAGGAAGACAGAGTGGAAGACAGAGATGAAGACAGAGAGGAGAACAGAGAGGAAGACAGAGATGAAGACAGAGAGGAGAACAGAGAGGAAGACAGAGAGGAAGACAGTGAGGAAGACAGAGAGGAAGACAGTGAGGAAGACAGAGAGGAAGACAGAGAGGAAGACAGAGAGGAAGACAGTGAGGAAGACAGAGAGGAAGACAGAGAGGAGAACAGAGAGGAAGACAGAGAGGAAGACAGAGAGGAAGACAGAGAGGAAGACAGAGAGGAGAACAGTGAGGAGAACAGAGAGGAAGACAGAGAGGAAGACAGAGAGGAAGACAGAGAGGAAGACAGAGAGGAGAACAGTGAGGAGAACAGAGAGGAAGACAGAGAGGAAGACAGAGAGGAAGACAGAGAGGAGAACAGTCAGGAGGGTAGTGATGACAGCTTGTAGGATTACTGGTCGTGCTAATGTTGTCTTGTGTTCACCTCTGCATGTGTGTTCTGTGTTCACCTCTGCATGTGTGTTCTGTGTTCACCTCTGCACGTGTGTTCTGTGTTCACCTCTGCATGTGTGTTCTGTGTTCACCTCTGCATGTGTGTTCTGTGTTCACCTCTGCATGTGTGTTCAGTGCCGTGTGTCTGGCAAATAAAGTCAAGACCCCTCAAAAGTTACGGTTTATTTCATTTTAAGGATGAGCACCAAGCAACATCTCCAGGTGCTCCTTTGAGAACCAGGGCAAAAAAGTGATGTGCACCCCTGCCTATAAGTCACTTTAGACCCCTTTTATAACAGATATTTCCAACATGTTATTTTTCAAGTTATTTGTTTTTAATCACTTTTGTGATGACTTTTGATCTCTTTTAATATGTTTAACTAGAGACTATAGTTTACCGCTATGTAGCAATAATATTCGACTGGCTGTAACACTAAATCTATTCACCTGTTTAATAAAGCTATTCCCAACTCTACACCCACTACTGTGTCACAAGGCTAAGGGATATTCATTTTGTGTTAAATCTGCAATAACAGGTTTGTCGCCACTTGGGTGTATCTGATTAAAAAATACATGCCATTGACTTATCATATCCTTTTTAATTGAATATGTTGTCAGCTTAACGATGAACTGAAACTCGATTAAGCTGTAAAGCTGAGGGAGCTGCAGTTTCAGTTTCTCCATTTCTTTGTTGCTTTAACACTACCAGGTGTTGAGGAAAATATTGCTCCCGAAAATTCCATTACACCAGGGACACCTGTCAATTGTCACATGTTTTGTATTTTACATTTTGGTTATTATTATAGATTATAGGTGCTTGAAGTTGATTTGTTTCACCATTCTTCTTATTTTTGTTTATACAAAATCTAACTCATTCAGATAAGGGCATAACAATTTTACTCATATTAGGTTCTGGGCTGCTCGTTAAATTCAGAAATACCTAAGAGCAAAATCTTAATGAAAACGGTCCTTTTAAAGCATATTCCTCTTTGGAACAAATTAGTTGTTTTTAAGAGGCCTCTATTAAATTATCCATGGATGTTACTGGTCCAACATTTAGTACTGTATTTGTATTCAAACTCACTTAAATACAACTTTATAAACCCACAAAGAAGATTAGATTTTGGGCAAGTAAAACAGACAGACATTTATAAGCAAGAGAGCTTTTAACTCCACTGACTGAAGGTGAGGGGCCAAGGCGATGGGGCCATCCAGTGATTTTTACATTGTTATTCGTGGCTGCTCTAGACAAAAATATCTGAGAAGGCAGGAACAACAAGTGGAATTGAGTTTTAACAATATAAGTTTGGGTAAGACTGGGAGAAAGTGACCCCCAATGGACCCTATTCATTTGGTCAGACTCTAATTTCAATAATTCAAATACCAAAGTGGTTTATATTTAATTAGAAGAGTACATTATATAGTTAGAGAAATATTTTCATTATCAGTTGTAAAACAACAACAAACTACCAAGTGCAGGAAGAATGGTGTTTGGCAAGGTCCTGAAATTATGATCAAAATGACTCTGTTGAAGGGTGTATTTTCTCAGACCTTTTTTTTTTTTTAATTAAATTTGCAGACATTTTCACAAAAGTATTTCAAATCCTTATACCTAGTGAACTTTCTGACCGGCCGTGTTTACATTTCAGACGATGAGTGACTTTGAGTACCTGAAGCTTCTTGGAAAGGGGACGTTTGGGAAGGTGATTCTGGTCAAAGAGAAGTCTACCAGTGTACATTATGGCATGAAAATACTGCGCAAAGAGGTCATCATAGCCAAGGTAAGTGTGTGTGTGTGTGTGTGTGTGTGTTTTTTTGGAGAGTGTCATGGTTGAAAGGGCGAGATGGAGGGGGATGCGCAGCCCCTGTACAATGTGTGACATCTTAACAGCAGCAAATGTATATTGTGTAAACCGTTGACAGAGCTTAAGCTCAGGGGAATGTCGGCCCTGCACTAAAATGATCAACGTTGTTCCCTGGTTGTACCCTGGTTACCCTGGAAAATTGGGCACTTGGGAAGGCTTGTTGGAAATGTTGGAGTGAATTCTTTAACAGTAGCTGTAGTGTCACTGTGGCACAGACTGTACCGGTGGTGAACAGCTGTTAGAAAAGTGCAGGTGTTCAGAGCAGAACTCCCTGTCGGAGCGGCAGAGCGTGATGTGCAGTGAACTAGCTAACTAGCATACATTGTGACTATCTGCTAACCTTAGCTGTAGCCTTCGTTTTCTAATCGTTTTTTCATAGACTATAAACAGAGGTGGTGGAAGTACTCAGATCTTGTACTTAAGTAAAATTAGAAGTACTCAGATCTTGTTCTTGAGTAAAAGTAGAAGTACTCAGGTCTTGTACTTGAGTAAAAGTACCAGAGTGTAGGAATACTCTGTTACAGTAAAAGTCCTGCATTCAAAATGTTCCTCAAGTGAAAGTAGAAAAGTATTATCATCAAAATATAGTGAAAGTAGCGACAGTAAAAGTAGTCATTGTGCAGATTGGTCCATTTCAGAATAATATATATGATATGTTTTATAATGATTGATCATGAAAGTGTTCTCAAAGCTGGTAAAGGTGAAGCTAGTTTGAATGACTTTGTATACTGCAGGGTAGCTGGTGGATTTACTCCAGGTGGAACTAAAGTCTGATTCAACACTTGATTAGATTTCACATCATTCATCCACATCTGTAAAGTAACTAAAGGTATTACATACATGTAGTGGAGGAGAAGTACACCATGTACCTCTGAACTGTAGTGGAGTAGAAGTAAAAAGTAGCAAAAACATTGAAATACTTAAGTAAAGTACAAGTATCTCAAAATTGTACCCAAGTACAGTACTTGAGTTTATGAACTTAGTTACTTAACACCAGTGGCTATACAGATAGAAAGACTAAGCCTTGCACAGAGGCATGAAAATACATTTTCAAAATTCTCAACAGCCAAAATAATAAACTGACTGCTACACAATTAAAATAAATGCTTTTATATATTTCTATTAGATGTGACTCTTTGGCGTTTCTGTTATTATTACCTGCTGCTTTAGTTGTTCTGACTGCTAAAATCCTCTGTTATTCCTATTCCATATTGAAGCCGATATTCCATGGGGGGGGGGGGGTGTCGGGGGCCTCAGATCCTTGTCACCTTGTCACCTTTTTCTTACCTGATGAGTTTGCATCCCTGAATTGATTTGAGCACCCAAATAATGTGGCAAGTGTCCAGCCTCTGATGATGCCATGCTGGGGTTTGCTGATTAGTAGCAGAATAAAGTAAGGGACTACTGCAGTATTTATTATGTACCTTCCTGTAACCCAGTTTTTTTGTATATTTGGACACTTTACACTTAATAGAGATCATGTCAAACAAGATGGATAGCAATTTGATGCCTCTCCTCCCTTTACATAAATCTTAACCTTTTCATCTTGTGTGTTTTCAGTATTCCTGAAAATGATGTTTTTGTTGGCAGGATGAAGTGGCACATACAGTTACAGAAAGCAGAGTGTTACAAAACACAAGACACCCCTTCCTAACGGTAAGGACCTTTAGGATCACAAATGACACAATAAATAAAGCATGTACATGCAGTGCCGGGCCTCTCAGAATGGGCAGTCAGCTCTGTTTTGATCTTCTTCATCAGCCAAATTGTCCTCAGGTTAGTCTGAAATTGCTCGCTGAGAGACATGTTTCACCACGGTTCTTTGTATGAATAGTGAATTGTTCTCACTCCGTGTCTTCTAGCCACATTGTGTTATATTGTAGCAATAGTATTGTAGTATTGGTGTAGTACAAGACTTAAATCCAGAATTAAAATAGTTTATTTCCAATTGATGAATGGATTGCCATGACCTCTGTTTTTAGAAACCTAGCAACAGTTGACAGAGTGGGTTACTCTAAGAATGTTGATACAACTGCTGATAGAGAAAGTTGCGAACACAACATGACCAACGTACAGTATCCTGGATGATGTTTTATAGGGAAGTTGGTCTATATTGGCAGCATGCCATTGGCGACAGGCCACATTCGTTTTATTCGTCTTTGTAGATTTTTAATAGCTTTTTATTCAGAAACAGAAATTCATCACCAATCATTTGTGTCCGCAGACACTGAAGTATGCCTTCCAAACTCACGATCGACTCTGTTTTGTAATGGAATACGCCAATGGAGGAGAGGTGAGACTTCACATACACGTTTCAACGTCACATGGAGATTTGATGTCACAGTGTGCCCTGCCTATTGAAACAGAGCTTCTCTATAAGGTGTTTCCCTCTGTGCTCTCATTTGTTTCAGCTCTTCTTCCACCTGTCCCGGGAAAGAGTGTTCACAGAAGACCGGGCGCGCTTCTACGGTGCTGAGATTGTGTCGGCACTCGAGTACCTCCATTCACGTGATGTTGTTTACCGTGATCTAAAGGTAAATACTCCAATCAGTTCTAAAATGTACAGTATTTATGCATGGTTTATAACATGACTTTAGAGAAGATAATGTGATGAAGGATTCTCATTTTAGATTTAACTATCAAAGTTTAGACAATTTAATAAATAAGCTTTTAGTTTAGTCCATGTTGATTATCAATTAAAAATAATCCAGAGACCTTTATTGCATAATCATCTTGTGGGTTGAAAAAAACGTTTTCTTATATATGTTTTTCTCTTGAAATGGAATGAATCTCTAATGTGTCTCTGGAAGATGGAATAAGCATTTCCTCCTGACGGGAAATAGTTTTTTTAATTTCAATTCTGTGTCCGTTGCACATTGTCTGGCCAGATTTGATCAATGTGCAGCAATATGATGCTCCTTATCATATATAGTTTAATAATAACCCTAAACAATGAATCTATAGCTGGCTACTCGGTTCTGATTGACTGCAGGGTATCCATCAACCCCTGATAAAGACATTTTCTAGTCAAGTTGTTCTAGTTAAAAATGGTTAACCCTATTTAATAATGCACTGGCTGTGCAAAAATAAGTAACCATGACAACACCTACAGTTGCAATCCAAATTATTCAACCCCCATTGGACATTAGGTTTATTGGCAAAATATATCATTTCTCAGCTGTTTGCTATAAACAAATTACAAAATAACTGTTTAAGTAGTTCAATGTAACTAATATGACAGGGTTTTTTTTTTTGTATCCAAATTGAACACAAAATGCTACTTTAAATGACTACTGCAGCCTCAAAATTGTTCAACCCCCTGTCTTAAGCACACCTGGTGCAACTAATACAGGGCTTCATTTGTTCAGGTGTGCTTGAGACAGAACACATAAATACATGGACTGGCTCTGGGTTTGTTGAGTGACCTTCGATTGCATGTTAGAAAAATAATTGTCCAAAAAGTTCAGAGAAGAGGCCTTGCACAAGGATACAAAAGGATTTTTGTGGATACAAAAAAATTGAAAATGACTGAATGTTCCTAGAGATATAGTTGGAAGCATACTTGGCACGTTCAAAGTTAAAGGAACAGTGGCTACACTACCTGGACGTGGCAGAAAGAGGAAGCCATGAGCGGCTGAAAGACTTGGTGTCAGCAGGCACTGAGGTTTCAGTTTGCACAGTAAGGCGCATACTAAGCACTGAAGGGCTCCATGCCCCAACCCAAGACGTACAACACTACTGATCCAAAAGAACAAGAAATGGAAGATTCTAGAATGGCCGTCACATTCACTGGACTTGAACCCCATAGAAAATCTCTGGTGGGAGTTGAAGAAGGCGGTTGCAAAACCCAAGAATATTGCTGAACTGTAGGCCATTGCCCATGAGAAAGGGGCTAAGATTCCTTGTGAACACGTGTCTGGCTATGCCTCACATTTGCAGCGGGTCAGAACAGCAAAAGGGTGCTCTACTAAGTTCTGAAGATGCTTGTCATGAAGGGGTTGAACAATTTTGAGGCTGCAGTAGTCATTTAAAGTAGCATTTTGTGTTGAATTTGGATAAAAACTTCTGTAATATTAGTTACATTGAACTACTTAAACCGTTCTTGTGTAATTTGTTTATAGCAAACAGCTGAGAAATTGTTGATTTTGTCAATAAATCTAAAGTATAATGTGTTTTGTTTGCAACTGCATTCCAAAATATATCTTAAATGAGTAACCATAGCAGCATGTGGTTACAATTTGTCGTAACACATTAAAAAACGGTGTCAATCCAAAAAGATTGTGGTGTTATAGGATCTCAGCGCAGTGCACACCTGTCTAACTGAAAACTACAACATTATTAGCCATGTTAATTAATTTTTGCGCTGTTGGTCAGTGATTTTGCATTGACTCAATTAAGATGTAATCAAAACATGATGAATTCTAAGCCTAGAATGTTTCATTATATAAATGATCATATCATTTAGATCTGATGTGTTTGTCATTTTACTCTCTGTCAGCTGGAGAATCTGATGCTGGATAAAGACGGCCACGTAAAAATCACTGATTTTGTTCCTTTGTAAGGAGGGCATTACCCCTGATGCTACCATGAAAACGTTCTGTGGTACTCCTGAATATCTGGCTCCTGAGGTAAGGTACTGACATGTTCAACATGTGCCACCCATCTAGAGTTGAACCTCCACACAACCACTACATGCATTATATTAACTACCACGATTAGTTAAGGAGCATTTGCGGCAGATATAAATACATTACCCACATATTATAGGGGGAGGAGGGGCACGATCACCCAATAGTGACTCATGTTGTACTTTATGCAAGGAATGAAGTACAATAAGAAAAGTACAATGAAAAACATCTACCCTAATTTCAGAGAGTGTCCTTTTAAATGTAATTCATAAGAATGCATCTATAACCAAAGGCCCTGATATTTTTATGATTTTACTTTTTTTTAAAAGTAATATATTACACTACTTCGTTACTCTCTAAATAAAGTAACTCGTTACTTTACTCGTTACTTTACTCGCAGAGTTACACTACTCCGTTACCGACAAAAGTAATATTATTACAGTAACGCGTTACAACTCTGCTCATAGCTATGAAAAATCTACAGTGCCATTCTGTGATTCTCCAAATTCTACAGATGGCCAGTCCGCCACTGCTCACAAGCTTATTAAGATCCAAAGCTTTAGTGCGTTTTGAATCAATGCTGAGTACAGCCAAACTTGACAGTCTCTTCTCTGTCATTGTTGACCGAATGCTTCTTGTTTTTAGGCGGCGGAAGTGACGTAATCTGCCACCCAGGACAAGAGACAAGCATATTAAATGTATTATTTTCGGTTGTGTATTTGTGTTTCCAGGTATAACATTTAAGTTATAATAACAATCATTTGTGGATTAATTTCATTAGGGTATTTGAGTTTGTTTCAGATTAACTTTTGTATTTGATGTTGCAACTTAAGAGAGACAAAAATCACTAAAAGATCTGGTGGATATCTGACCAGTATTTATATATATATATATATATCCTAAATGTTCTTTGGGTTTTATCCACAAATGCAACAGAAATAAGAACTGTAAGTTATTATTTAATAATCAAACCATTATAATTGAAATATAAGTATATTTCACACATTTTAATGTTGTATGATATAGAGTATGATCTCATTATTCGTTAATGAACCTCATATTTGTGACAAGACGTGCGTGAGAGGAACTCTTCTCTATTTAGGGCAGTGGTTCTCAAAGTGGGGGGCGCGAGAGACCAGGAGAAAAAATGGTTATTAAAAAAAAAAAATTAAAAAGATTTTAAATTAAAAAATTAAAAAAATCATATTTTGAAAAATTATTGATTCGAAAATAATATGATACAGTACTATTACGTCTGGGTGTCTGTGTTTCATTAAAGCTCGGCTCTGTGTGTGTGTGGAACGAGCCATTTTGTGTGTGTGCGCGAGCGAGCGAGAGAGAGAGCGCACCGGTACCGGAGATCGTTGTTGTTAGCTTCTGGTTTTTTTCAACAACAAAGTGGAGGAGAGTCCTCTCCTGTCAGACTGAGAGACTCAGTGAGCTAAAGGACTCTCAGTGTTATCTCAGTGGGTCTCAAACGTTTTGGTCACCATTAATATAAATAAATTAAAAACAATTATGAAATACTATATGACATTAAAAAATGTATAACGTTTAAAAGGGGAGTGATTTGTAAAATATCGATAAATAAATAGTAAATCCGTTTACAGTTCTGTGTTGAGAGATGTATCCATACTGTAGATCTCTTCATTTTGCTCTCAAAGTGCACCAGATTGATGCTTTTAACTTCAATATTTAAAAATAAATCTTCCCGGGGGAGCTTGCCCCCGGACCCCCCTATGTGAGGTCCACACACCACCTATAAAAATAGCACTTTACCCCTGCTTACACCTATATGCCGTGAGCTGATTATTGAGCCTTCATTGTAACAGTTGCTGGAACACTGTATATGCGTGGCGAGTGTTGCAGTAGAACATTCCTCTGTAGCGCCCGGTACATTAATGGGAAACCCTAAATGTTTGAGAAGCCTCTATGAAACGTCAAGCTACCCCACAGTACCCCCAAAATAAATCTTTGGCGCCGCCACTGAGCCTGACTATTTGTGTTGGGGGGGGCCCGACTTTTTTTTTTCTCCAAAGGGGGGGCCTGACAGAAAAAGTTTGAGAACCACTGATTTAGGGTAAACGTTAAACTTTTAATACAAAAGTTGCCGACTTCTCATCTACGGTTATGTCACTTCCGCCGCCGAAAACCCAGGAGGTATACGATCTAGCACTACACACACACACACACACACACACACACACACACACACACACACACACACACACACACACACACACACACACACACACACACACACACACACACACACACACACACACACACGTCTCACACGCTAACACAGTTATGTGTGCTGTTATGTTCAGTCATCGTTCTTATGTTAAACATGAATATATTTAATGTACGTATTTCTTCTTTCATAGCAATTTTCCTTCATACTTTCTTGCCGTGAAATAGGTCTTAAATTCTATTCAAAGTGGTCTTAAAAAGTCTTACATTTGAGTTGGTGAAACCTGCAGGAACCCTGTATATAGATAAAAGTATTCACACACTCCTCTTAATCATTGAATTCAGGTGTTTCATTCAGTCCCATTGCCACATGTGTGGCACTTAGCCATGCAGTCTGCCTTTACAAACATTTGTGAAAGAATGGGTCATTCTAAAGATCTCACTGAATTCGAACGTGATACTGTAATAGGATGCAACAAGTCAGTTGGTGACATTTATTCTCTCCTAGATATTCCACGATCAACTGTAAGTGGTATTATTGCAAATTGGAAACGTTTAGGAACCACAGCAACTCAGCCACAAAGTGGCAGACCACATGAAGTTACAAAGGGGTCACTAGGGGTGTTGAAATTAATCGTTTCTACGATGCATTGCGATGCGGAGGATTCTGCATCGATGCAGTCACAGAACATAATCGATTATAGCGTAATAACGTTGCTTACTGATTTTCCGGCCGCGGCTGGACAATAATGTTCTTTTTTTCTATCACACCAATATCAAATTGGTCAGTGACGCAAAGATCATGCCTGACTGCGTTGTGCCGACTCTAAAGTTTGGTGGAGGAGGGATAATGCTATGGGTTGTTGTTCTGGGGTTGGCCTAGGCCCCTTGGTTCCAGTGAAGCGGATTCTTAATGCTTCATCTTACCAAGTCATTTTGGACAATTCTTTGTGGAAACAGTTTGGGGAAGGCCCTTTTCTGTTCCAGCATGACTGTGCCACAGAGCACACTGTGTGTCTGTATATTCAGCGGGAGCTGGAGGCTTAAGAGTAAAGTTGTTATATATATAATACATATAATGGCACTGTTCTAGCGGTAAACACTTAAGAAAGAACATGTCAAGCTACAGATGTAGCACTCCAGATCAGACTCAAATGGGTGTGTCCCAGTCAAAAGCCCAGCGGATCCCAGTGGCTGGGGGTGTTGCCAAATTGCTAGAGGGCATTGCCCAATTTCCCCATTTGTTCAATTACAGGATTTAACCATGAGATGGCGCTTCATTCACAAAATACACAAAGACAACTGGTTGTTGTCGACCTTAGTCTGTTTGCAATGTTTGCAGCCCTGCAGTTGTGTTTGCTGAATACTGTAGCATTTAATCACTTATTTGTTACTGTATGGTTTTCACAAGCTACTTTAATGAAAAAACATCAATATTTTAGATCAAATAAAGTATATAGTTTGCTTTATGCAGTATATTTCTTGTAATATTGTTGGGGTGTTTTTACACAGTACAGTAGATTGAAGTAAATCAACTTATACATTAAGATAAGATAAGATGGACCTTTATTAATCCCGTGGGGAAATTCAGTAGTTCAAACAGCAACAGGGTGAGAGTGAAAAACAGGACAGCACAGATTCACACAGATTAATAAAATCAAAAATAAGATGAGCGATAAAAATAATAATAATGAGAAACTATGAAATAAGAAATGAATAAAACTAAAATGTAATTATCATATCATATATTATAATGTATTGTATTATTAAGTAATATCATACATTAACCCCATTATAGCAGATAACACATTGAATGGATGAACACATTTATGCATCAATAATTACAACAGAGTATTTCTAAATACAAGTTGTAAAAATACTTATATGTATTTAATATTAACCCTTTGGAGTCGACCGTCACGCCGGCGTGATCAGATCACATGACCTGTTCAAGCCGGTGCCGCATAAAAACAACAGTCCGGACAGCGTCTATCGTTTTTCCAACCCAGTTTAGCTTTAACCACGCCCACTTCCGCATTACGCAAGGATCGACGTAGCTCTACGCGATAGCGTCATAGACTTCTTCTTCGGCAGTTATAGCGGTCGCGGTAAAGCAGGATATTGAATAGTTGTTTTTTGTCTTTCCAAAGGATTTGTTGACTGAAAGTAAACGATCCTGTAATCAAAGCCATATCGAAGATTCCTGAGATTGTATTACTGGTGTTTTATCATCTATAAATAGCCTGTGTGCATCCTCAAATGTCGTTTTCAGGACAAACAAAAGACGTTTTAAATATCTTATCAGCTGGTGTAAGTGCAGAATATTGAATATAACCTTGACTATTACTGTGTATTTCATTTATCTGACAGCATTATTTAATGATACTATTTTATATATATATACACACATTTATTCATTTATAAACATATATATATAAACACACACTTATATGTACTCACACATGTATTTATTCATGTATACACACAGATGTATTCATTCATTTATACACACACTCACATATATACACTTTATATTAATTCATTTGTACACACACACATACATATATATATATATATATATATATATATATATATATATATATATAAACAAAACAACACAATATAATAAAACAGTTGCAATAATAACATAATATGGTATGATCAATTCTACCCTTTTGTTTTTGCTCCCATATTTCAATTAAAAGATATTTTTCAAAATCAATATTGGTGGGGGCTCTTTTGCAAAGATAATCAATAACACCACCTGACAGTTGTTGCAGATTATACAGCGTACTTGTTATTTACAC